AACCTTGCTAAAGGTTTGTCAATTTTATTTATCTTTTCAAGAAACCAACTTTTTGTTTCATTGATCTTTTGTATTGTTTTTTGGGTTTCTATTTCCTTTAATTCTGCTCTGATCTTATTTCTTTCCATCTATTAACTTTGGGTTTGGATTGTTCTTGTTTTTCTAGATCTTTAAGGTGAAGTGTTAGGTCGTTTATTTGCCATCTTTTCATTCTTCTGAAGTAAACATTTAATGTGATAAATTTCCCTGTTATTAACTGGGACAGTATTACCGCTTTTGCAGTATCCCACAGGTTTTGGTATGATGTGCTGTTATTTTCATTAGTTTCAAGAGTTTTTTTGATTTCCTGTTTGATTTCTTCTTGGACCCACATGCAATTAAGTAGAATGTTGTTTATTTTCTATGTGTTTGTATATTTTCCAGAGTTTCATTTATTATTGATTTCTAATATTAATCCATTGTGATCAGAAAAAATACATGGGATAATTCCAATTTTTTTGAATTTGTTGAGACTTGCTTTGTGACCTAACATGCAGTCTATCCTGGAGAATGTTCCATGTGCTGATGAGAAGAATGAATATTCTGAAGATGTTGGGTGGAATGTTCTGTAGATATCTGCCAAGTCCAACAGGTCTAAAGTGTTGTTTAGATCTTGTGTTTCTCTATTGATTTTTTGCCTAGATGATCTGTCCAATGATGAGAGTGGGGTCTTCAGGTCCCCTGCTATTATGATGTTAATGTCTGTCTTATTCTTTAGATCTAATATTGGTGGTTTATAAATCTGGCTGCTCCTATGTTGGGTACATATTTATTTATGATTGTTATGTCTTCTTGGTTGATAGATCCTTTTATCATTATATAGTGTCCTTCTTTGTCTCTTTTATGGTTTTTGCTTTAAAGTCTATTTTATCTGATATAAGAATAGCTGCTCTAGCTCATTTTTCATGATATATCTTTTTCCATCCTTTCACTCTTAGTCTGTGTGTGTCTTTACACATCAGGTGAATCTCTTGAAGGCAGCATATTGTTGGGTTCATCTTTTTAATCCAGTCAGTCAGTGTCTTCTGAGTGGGGAATTTAATCTCTTTACATTTAGTGTTATTATTGAAAGATGCTGATTTACTCCTAGCATTTTACTGATTTTTGTTCAGATGTCTTAAGTACCTTTTGTTCCTTTATTTCTAATTTTTTGTTTGTCTTCTATATTTGTTGGTTTCTTGGGGTGATAGATAAACTATTGTTTTCTCTTTTGTTAGCATTGTTGTTTTGTGGGTAAGTATTGTTCTTTCTTGAATATTCATGGCACTGATGGTTGTTTTTGTGGTGTCAAACCCAGTACATCCTTGAGAATTTCTCTTAGGGCTGGTCATGTGGTAGTGAACTCCAACAGTTTTTGTTTGTCTGAGAAATATACTATTTGTCCTTCATTTTGGAAGGATAGCCTTGCTGAGTAAAGTATTCTTGGCTGGCAATTTTTGTCCTTTAGTGTTTTGAATATATCATCCCATTCTTTTCTGGCTTTTAGGGTGTCTGATGTTATTCTGATTGGGGCTCCCTTATAGGTGACTTGCTGCTTTTCTTTTGCAGCTTTTAAGATTCTCTCTGTGTCTTTGAGTTTTGCCAGTTTGATTATCACATGTCTTGGAGAGGACCTTTTTGGGTTGAATGTGTTTGGTGATCTTTGGGCTTCCTGAATCTGGGGATCTGTGACTTTCCCTGTACCTGGGAAGTTTTCTGCTATTGTTTCATTGATGAAGAATTACATAATTGTTTTGGATCAATAACAAGGATGATGCCAGATTGAGGTGAAACAGATATTTGCTAGGTAGATATTTTTGCAGAAGTATTTTTTTTTACTAAGGTTTTACTAAGCTTCTATGGAAGGTTGTGGCTTTGGAGAGTCCTATGTTATAGTTCTTGTTATCAGGTGTAAGTGCTTGAGAACTGTTCCCTTCATGCCCTTCCACTGCTCTTTTTGTCAGGGTTTCTTTTTGTTTCTTTTAAACACAAGTGATTCCATTTTGATTCTGACAACTTTCACAGGAGTCACAGACTGCATCCATGCTTCCTCCATCTGCACCAATACCAAATGATAAAGGTGGGCATCTCTTTCTCTCAGACTTTCCAGGTGGAACTACCTGGTGGCCCAGAGTTTTGTATTTGCCATTGAGGAGATCAACAGGGATGCCCGCCTGCTGCCCAACCTCACGCTGGGCTTCTCCATCTGGAGCTCTGGGGACTCTGTGCACGGAGCCCTCCGTGAGATGATGGGCTTTCTCACGGGGCAAGAGGAGCCGATTCCGAACTACACGTGTCAGCTCAGCATTCCCCGCGTTGCGCTGGTTGGAGACACTCGGTCAGTCTTGTCTGTTGCTATGGCCAGGCTTCTGGGGCTCTACAAATTTCCCCAGGTGAGTCATGGCAAAGTCTTTGTCCTTCACTAGCAATAATGAAGGTAAGAATGACAATGGACATGCTATTGAGATGCTGCTGCTATGAGGCCAGATTCCCAGCTAACGCTCTCCATGCCTGACACTATTCTCCTCACTATAACCTTGTTTTGAGAGTCCTATAATCCCTACTGCATTCATGAGGAGATGAGGTTTAGAGAAAAATCAGTGACAGATCCAAGCTCACCCAGCTGGGAGGTAGTGGAGCTGGGATTTGAATCCAGAAAATAGAGCTCATCCCACCAGTTTAACCTCCACCCTGATGGTGTTTCCAAAATTTCAGGCCCGCAGTGTCATTCCTACAATAGTAGTCATACCCAAAGGTCACCTTTACTTTTCAGCTCATATTTTTAACAAGTTAGTTGAGAGATAATTTGCTTACTATACAATTCACCCATTTAAAGTGAATGATGAAGTGACATTTAGTGTGTTCAAAGTTGTGCAACCATCACCACAATCAATTTAGGGACATTTTTATCACTGCACAAAGGTAGCTCCAAACCCATTAGCAGTCACTTCTCAACACATGCATCCTCTGGCACTCACTAATCTATGTTCTGTCTCTATGAGTTTACTTTTTCTGGACATTTCGTATAAATGGAAGCCTATGCTATGTGGTCTTTGTGACTGGTTTCCTTCACCAAGCATAATGTTTTTGAGATTCATCCACATTGTAGCATGGATCAGTGCTTCATTACTTTTCGTTTATGATTAATATACCATTGTATGCATAGATCACATTTAGCTTGTGCATTCATCTACTGACAAACATTTCAGCTGCTTTTTATTTATTTTTGAGAATTGCATTCATTAATAAGCAATAAATCTAGGCATAGTACTAAGCACTTCTACATACACCAATGAACTCATTTAGTTATCACATTTCTGAGGAGAGGTTAACTATGTAAGCAAGCTGCAGGACTTTCCCCCAGTTGTCTGACTCTACCTCCAGTGCTCTTCGCCAAACCACAGTTACTTGTGCAGTGTAAATAAATAAATAAATACAATAAGAGCCTTAGATTTCAAAACACTAGTGGTAAATAAGGTAACATTTGTAGAGCTCTTCTTAGAAAGTCAGAAGATTATTTGCTATTGAAATAATTTTTGTTTTCTCTTCATAATGTTTAAAATAGTAATAAATGTGAAATAGGGGGAAATACACTGAACTACTTTACTAGGACCCAAAGAATTATCAGTAAGTTATCACTTAGTATATATTATGGCATATCATTGTTTTCAAAAGCTCTTTGTACTGAAATAGGACACCGCTTGGAGCAAACCATTACTCTTCTCAAAAGTGAGGAGAATGACATCCAAAATATGGTCTCTGCACTGACTAAACTTTTCCTCCTTACCTGTGGGTGGAAGTAATAAACCCACTGTCTATTACTATATCAAGGGGGTAAAATGGCTGCCAAGAACTAGAACATCTCTTGGTAGTAGCAAGAGTTTTTAGGTTTGGAATGATTATCAGTTTCTGTGGAAACTATTAAAAGCCTCTCCTTTGGATGAAGACACTCTGAATGTCACTACTTGACTGTGACAGACAAAGGGAGTTGAATTAAGAACACTACTTTATACAATGGGCCAAAAATGTCACCTCCACTCCCAGAATATATACATACATATATGACTTAAAAATTCTCTCTACTTTCCATGATACTTGTAATTGGTATTTTAAATACATACATATATGAATACACACACACACATATTTGAAAACCACAAAGAAAATACTCATAATTCATTTTCTTTTGAGCCATTTCTAGCTCCTTTTGTTTGCACAGGTACCTGGTCAGAATCTCATCTTGTAATACTCTGGCATTCCATTCTTGAGAAAGTTGCCTCTGGATGTCATTTTGCTCTTCTACAAGCTAGAGATACACTTCATTAAGTTTTGGTCTCCATGGAAATAAAAAGCCTAAAAGCTTAATTAAGAGCAGAAACTTAAAAAGAAAAAAAAAAAAAACTGTTAAAGAACTAGCCTATTAAAGCACAAGGACCTTTATCTCACATGGATTACTCAAATTTTAATGGCAAACAATAGCTAAATTTTTCAGAGTAAAAACAGTTCTTAAAAAGAGGCATAGTATTGTGAAATAAAATTTCCTTACAAAACATTTAACTAGCATATATATTGTTACAAATCACATTTATTCTTTATGCCCCTTGTCCAATCTCTCCCATCCCCCTCTTTCTCCCCCCTCCCACCTCTGATAACCCTAGATTTCTTCTCTCTTTCTGAAAGAGTAACAGTTACTCTGTTGATTTGTTGTCTAGATGATCTGTCCAATGCTGAGAGGTGTGTTCAGGTCCCCCAATATTATCACAGAGCAGATGCTTCTTCTGTCACTCTGAAATGGGCTTTGTGAAGAGTGCAAAGAAAAACGGGCTTTTCTTTGGTCTCCGTTGATGACTCTCCTTGTGTCAATGCACTCCAGTGGCTGGCAGACCATCTGCGTGGAGGTTGTGGCATCTAGCTGCTTTTGTGGCAGCCATGGTTACATGTTGTGGGCCGCCTACATGGAGGTGATGCTTTTGGCTTGTTCTTTGGTGCTGGCGGTGTGCCTGGTTGTGGGAGGGGGGGGCGGTCCAGTCCCTGGCTCCATATCTCAGGTCCCTGGGCGGGCCCCAAGGTACTGGCTGTGTGTGTCAGCTGCTTTTTAAAAAAAAAAAAAAATTGGCATTGTGAACAGTGCTGCTATGAGTATTCATGCATAGGTTTTTGTGTATGTTTTTAATTATCTTGGGTGGAGGAATGAAATTGCTGGGTCAAAATGTTACTCTGTGTTAACTATTTGAGAAACTGCCACAGTGTTTTCTAAAGTGGCTGCACCATTATAGTTCCTACCAGCATTGTATGAAGATTCCAATTCAAATTCATCTATAAATTTGGGTGAATTCCTCTCTCCTTAAACTCCTTAAATTTGTAGTTTCCTGGCCTGCCAGTAGGGGGCTTTCTCTTTAACTGTGAAGCTGAGACTTCTTGTAAGTCATAGAACAGTTTGAAGAGACATTTTTGGGGAGGGCTTTGTGGGTATCTGTGCCACAAAGGAAGCCCAACCATTGCTTTTTCTGGTGGACTTGTCATATTTATTCTCAGGTGTGATACTCCAGGAATGGGCTTGATTGCACAAATAGTTTAGTTCTAACCCGATTAAAAAAGGGATGATTTTTGATTATTTATTTATCTTTTTAAGGAATGATTTTCATAGTATATCTGTAAATAACCATATTGTTGTTATAGGTGTTTTGAAACCCAAATGGTCAATACAGGCTGACTTGTCTAAAAATTCACTCTGATTACCTCAACTTGAATTCTTCATCAAATGCTTCTGTGCTGGAGATTTTTGTAGGAAGCTTTCTTTTTCTTTCCTTTTAAAGTCAAACACATTTAAAGGATTAGAAACTCTATTTCTTGAAAAGAACCCAAGAAACTCTTGTTTTTTTCATATAGGTAGGGTTGCCAGGAAAAACTCAGGACCCACAGTTAAATGTGGCTTTCAGATGAACCACAAATAATTTTTTAGTGCAAGTTTGTCCCTAATATTGCATGGACTATACATATAGTAAAATATGATTCGTTGTTTACCTGAAATTCAAATTTAACTGGATATCTTGATTTTATTTGCTAAGTGTGACAGCCTTACCTCCATGAGACTGAGTCAGCCTTATCTATCTGTATAAACTGATTTGACCAGAGCATGTTTACATTAAGACAATATAACTTTATGTAACTTATTTCATTGCTTCTCTCTGGCAGCAGGAGAATGTTCTTCACTCAGACATGAAGAACTGAAGATTTTTATCCATTAGAGACACTCAGAGACTGAGCAGCTTTATTCTACCTCAGCCATGGATCAAAAGGAAACATAGACACAAAACCCTGTTGGCAACATCATGAGTGGGTCTTATTTCTTGTGGGGCACAGGGAGTAGTCTCTTTATTGACAAATCAACAAACATGCAAAAATTGGCCAAACAGGTCGTTTTCTGTCGTTTCTCACCCACAGAGCACACATATTCATTGTATGCACTACAAAGATCACAAAATGGTCAGGCCACATGAGCACCACCCATAAAGAATAACCTATCAGCTCTGTGAAACCAGAACTAGAATCAGAACCCAGCCAGACCAAGACACAGAAACATGAAACACTGTATGGGGGGCCCCAAAATAAGGAACACTGAGAGGAACAAAGATAAAGTTCAGTTGCTTTTTGGGATTTGTTCCAGAAGCTGCAAAAGAAACATGTCTGGGCTTAACCAGCCAGTGAGAAGCACAGAGCAGGTGAGCCCACCTGGACATCTCGGTGGAACCTCCACAACTCTCAGAGCATTATTTCCAAAAACTATCATGCAGACTCTCCAACAATGAGGAAATAATCACATGACAGATTTATCTAGGGATGGCTAGTTAGCTCAGTTGGTTAGAGCACGATGTTATCACACCAAGGTCAAGGGTTTGGATCCCCAAACCGGCCAACTGCCAAAAAAAAAAAAGAAAAGATTTATCTAACTTGTGAATGAGGAAAGAGGAGGACGATTAATCTGGTTTATACTTGTTATCACACCAAGGTCAAGGGTTTGGATCCCCAAACCGGCCAACTGCCAAAAAAAAAAAAAAAAAAGAAAAGATTTATCTAACTTGTGAATGAGGAAAGAGGAGGACGATTAATCTGGTTTATACTTCACTATTTTTAAAAGTGTTATCTAGATTGTTCTATAGTGTGTTAGGACCCCCTACTCAAAAGTGCAGACAGAGAGTCATCATCAGCTGTGAGATTGTTGAAATGCAGATTCATGGGCCCCACCTTCTCAGTCAGTACCTGCACCTTAATGAAGTGCCACATTAACATTAAAGACACTTCAGGCTAGGCCATCTAACAGCAGCTGCTAATGTTTTTGTGTAAAGAACTGTTTGTGTCTGAGGCTCTGCTATAACTAGGGTGACCATTTGCCCAGGACTGAGGGTGTTCATAAGATGCAGGACTTTTAGGAATAAAACTGGGAAATTTAGTCAGGACAAGTTGATCACCCTCACACTGTCCTCACAATGCTTGCCTTTTCTCCTGTAAATCTGAAGATTAACCATGCCTGAGCTTCTGGTTTTCACCCCTTCTCCTCTTGTCCTGACCCCTTCTCACACAGGTCAGTTACACATCCACTCTGGCCAGCCTCAGTGACAAGACCCAATTTCCATCCTTCCTTCGGACCCTGGCCAGTGATGTTATGTTCTCCCACGCAGTTGCCCAGCTGGTGATCCACTTCCGCTGGTCCTGGGTGAACATTCTGGCACAGGATGATGACTTTGGGCAGCAGGGCAGCTCTCTGGTGACCCAGGAGTTAACCCAGGCTGGCATCTGCATCGAGTTCCACCTCTACATTCCCTTCAGACAGTCCTTGGAGAAGATCAATGCCATTGTCCAGAAGATGGAGAGCTGCACTGCTACTGTTGTTCTGGTTTTCCTGAGCAACTCGAATTTCCAGCTCGTTCTGCAGGGTTTGCTGGGCCGTGGTGTCTTTGGCAAGGTCTGGGCCAGTCAAAGCACTTTGCACACAGCGCTTGCTCTGACCATGCCAGGCATCTCCCAGGTCCTACAGAGCACATTCAGCCTTCTGCAGCACAGCATCCAGGTCCCCGGCTTTCCCGAGTTCCTTGCTCACCTGCACCCCACCTGGACCCCAGAAGACCCATTTATAGAAAGGTTCTGGGAGAGCACCTTTGGATGCACATGGCCACACAGGAACCTGGAATCAGCAGGGAACAGCACAGTGTCAGGGAAGGTTCAGTTCTGCTCAGGGAATGAGAGTCTGAGAGGCCAGGTGTATCCCTTCCAGGAAGTGAGTAAAGTGGACACAGCATACACAGCAGTCTACAGCATCGCGCATGCCCTGCAGGACCTAGTGGCCTGTGAGAATGGGGATGGGGAGTGTGCAGACACTTGGCACTTGCAGCCCTGGCAGGTGAGAAAAAAAAAATGTGTGCATTAGATAATTCAGGGAAGGGCAGAGAGTGGTTGGTTCACTCGAAGCTTTGGACATAGAACAGAGATAGCACTGAAGATCAGCAGAGAACTAGTAGTCCAGGGTCCACACTATCAGTGTGACCTCAGATGAGTTATGTCCATGCGCGGTTGCTTGATTTAGCAAACACAGTGCCTACTTAAATTTGAATTTCAGATAAGTGAATAGGTTTTCTAGTTTATGTTTTAAATTTTTGTTTTGGTAAACAATGAATAACATTTAGTATACGTGTGGGGCAGATTTTAATTTCAGATAAACAGCAAAGAATTCTTGGTATAAATATATACTAAATATTACATGGAATATAATTATAGTAAAAAGAGTCATTATTTTCTTTGAAATCAAAATTTACCTGAGATTTTTGTATTATAACTGGCAACCCTACTTCTACTATGTGCCAAGTGCTACTCTAAAGACCAAATATATATATGGTTGTAAACAGGATGGGCGGTGATGTTTGCTGACTTTTTAGAAGGTGGGGATGAGTAGGAGCCAGCTCTGGGAAGAGGTTGATGGCATTCAGCACATGCAAAAATCCTACTATGAAAATAAGTGAGAAAGGCCACACAGCTGAAACAGAGAAGTGCGGGAGACTTGGCTAAGGGACTGGGTGTCTAGGTGGGCAGGTGTCAGGCTGTGTAGGGCTTGCCAGTGTTTGGACTCCATTCAAAGTGTAATGAGAAGGCTGAAGATGGCAGTGCACAGCCAAACAGAGTCTCTGGAGCCAGGGCTTCCTTGTGACTTTTGTAGGTTCTTTCCCCATTGAAAAAATATGAAAAATTCCATTTTATGAGAACCTTGGCATAAAGGTGAATGTAATCAGGGATGGATTCATTATTTGATATTCACTATTACTTTATTAATTTTTTCTTCTGATCAGGTGACTGGATAAGGAAAATGTGGTATATATACACAATGGAATATTACTCTGCCATAAAAAAGAATGAAATACTGCCATTTGCTGCAACATGGGTGAACTCAGAGAAAATCATATTAAATGAAATAAGCCAGGCACAGAAAGAGAAATACCATATGTTCTCACTCATCAGTGGAAGCTAAAATAATAAACATATAAATAAAAGAAAGAAAGATATGACATTCACAATACATTGAACTTTCAAAAGGATGACTGAAGTCACTAGAAGCAGGAAGGGAGGGGGGAGAGAGGAATGGGGAAAGGGCCTCCCATAGCAATGACAGTGTATCTTATTGAATATAATAATTATTCTGATTTCAGCATCACATAGTGCACATGGATACTGATGTTCGACTCTGTACCCCATAGATATGTACATTCAACTATGTTATAATAAAAAAAAAGTTAAATAAAAAAATAAGTTAAAATTAGAACATTTTCATGAGACCCCCAAAATATCACTGGCCATGTGCCTCCTGTGCCTAATGGATAAGTCAGCCTTGCCTGGAGCATGAGCTGCTCATCAAAGTGGCCAATGTCTTGAGGCCTTTTGAACACCCTCAGGGACTGGCTCCAGCCGATCTATAATGTCACCCCTTTCTTCCCCAAGCTTCTTCTTTCCCTCAGGGATGTGAATTTCAAGACCCTTGATGGGAGAGAGATTATGTTTGATGCCAATGGAGATTTAGTTACAGAATTTGACATACTTTATGGGCAGAAGACCACCGAAGGCCTATTCCACTTTGTCCACATAGGAATAATTCATCCTGGAGCCTCTTCAAAGGATAGAATGACAGTCCACTTGATGAAGGAGGATCTCCAGGTGAGTTGCCGGGGCGTATGGATGACCCAGGGCCTGGTGTATTAGAGTCAGAGGGAAACTCAGAGGCTGATGGTCTGGGTCCTTATTTGATGCATGAGGTGGATGTGGTTTAAAATTGGGCCAATTGTAACTCAACTATGCTGTTTAGCTATGTAAGATCCTTAAATTGGGAGGAAAGGCATTTATTCACCATCAGAAATGAAAATATCAGAGGCACAGAAGTTGAATTAGAGTCTGCATCAGGAGTTTCCTCAAGTGTATTTTTGTCTTGTCTGTATTGAGGGATCTACTCAGCAAAGAGGTGAACAGTGTGTCTGGGAAGATAGCAATACACTTCTCCAAACATGTTGCCATAGAGCATCCCGGAGGTGAGCAAAGCAGGTGTTCTCATTTGATTTATTAACGTTAGTTGCTGTATTGGGAAAAGAGTGTCTAGATGTCCACTCTTGTGCACAGAAAAACCCTGGCTCTCTGGACAACGTTAAGTGGTTATTTAATTCCCTCCACTGCAACTCATCTTCCTTCATTCTTGGCGGCACCTCCAGTAAGTGTTGTCTTAAGGTTTTCCACGTGAGAGTCAGACTCCCATCTCTGGATCCCTCAAACCCAAGAGACACAGGCTAAATGTTCAGAGGATTCTTTTGATGTCCCTTTCAATTGACTTGAGCTGGGGAATGCCCTTTGCTCCCTTCTGAGGGTAGAAGAAACCTACCTTTTCACACGTCTCTCAAAGGCATTGTCACCCCATCCTCCCTTTCCATAACTCTTGCCTGGATGTGATAGGTGGGATGAGGGATGCAGAACCATCTCTTTGTAGGACCTGTGTAGATGAGAGGATAACTGGATGTACAGTGCAAGGTTGTGTGTGCATGTATGTGTGTGTGCGTGCGTGTGTAGGCTTAGCACCTACATAACTTGGTGAAGGATTCTCAAAGACAGTGGAAAGGTGCCATTTCACATTGTGTTACTAAGCTTTTCCACCATCAGCCAGAAGAGTCAGGTGGAGCTGCTGTTGAAGGTTTACCTTGTTTCTACATTCATGGGTGCCTCTCCAGTCTGGCTTCCTTGATGTAACTGAGATGATATTTCCCCTGAGTGGAGCCTTGTCTTGTCCATGGGATGAGTCTTAACTGAGTCAAGCCTTGACTGCTTCTCTGGGCTGATTTAGTACAGGACCTGTGCCCTGTGTTCCTGGGCTGGCCACTAATAACACTCCTGCTCCTCTGTCCTCAGGTCCCCAGCTCTGTCTGCAGCAGGAGTTGTGCTCCAGGATTCAGCCAGATCCCCCAACAAGGATTCCCCCACTGTTGTTTTGAGTGCAGTTTCTGCCCGGAAGGACAGTTTGCAGACCAAATAGGTGAGAGCTTCTGGAGTCTGAATTTTGAGGGGCCATTAAGGCACCTCTGTCCTCTCAAATTTTCAATCCATTGAGTTGTTGCACAATCTCTACCTTCTGTGAACTTTGGACATGGCAATACTGGCCAGGAAGCAACTCTGAAAATTATTTTTAGGTAAACATTCTATTGAACTCTATCCCACAGACAAATGTATGAATCATAATTCTGCAGCTCAGTAAATTCTCATCTAGGGAGCCCTTAATGTCTTTGCACCCTGATCAAGAGACAGAGCAGAACCTGTCCCCAGAAGCCCCTTGTGTTCTTTCCAGTCATTGCCCCTTCTGAGAACTGCAATTCTAACTACCATTGGCCTCAATTGGTTTTAGCTGAATTTAACCTCCCGTAAGTGGAATTACACGACGACTGTTCTCACGCGCCTCTCTTTTTCCTCCACGTTGTGTTTGTGGGATTCATTACAGTGACCATGTGTACTCGTAGCTCTCTCATCCTCATGCTTGGTAGGATCCCACTGTGTGAAGTGACATGACTTCTTTATCCATTCAACAGGGATGTTGGATGGGAGAAGTTCCTGATCATGAGCTATTATGAGTAGTGTTGCTGTGTCCTTTGGGGACAGATGGTTGAATTTCTATTGGGTGTAGCACTGATGGGGCACAGGTAATCTTTCTGGGGCATTACTCTCTCTACCTCATCCTCAGCAGCCATTGGGTGTCGGGTCTTTTCATTTCTCACCCATTATGGTTCAGAGCAGTAATTTTAAATAATCTTCAAAGGAAGGATGGCAGAATTGGTAAAAACTGTTGTATTGGTTTGCTAGGGCTGCCATAACAAAATAGCACAGACTGGGTGGCTTAAGCAGTATAAATTTGTTTTCTCACAGTTCTGGAGGCTAGAAGTATAAGATTATGGTGATGGCAGGTTTGGGGTTTTTTGAGGCCTCCCTCCTTGGGCTGCAGATGGCCACCTTCTTGCTGTGTCTGCCCATGTCTTTCCTCTGTGTTAATCTGTGACCTGATTTCCTCCTCTTATAAGGACATCAGTCATATCGGGTTAGGGCCCACCCTAATAAACTTATTTAACCTTAATTATTTCATCTCCAATTTACCTATCTTCAAGTACAGTACGGTCACATTTTGAGGTACTGGGGTTTAGGATTTCAACATATAAATTCTAGGGGAACACAACTCAGCCCATAACAATTGCTAATGAGAACAGTTCCTGCTACTTATGTAGAAAACTATTAACCATAAACTACATAAAAACATTTTTATGCTGTGGGCGCATTTCTTTGTGACTCAGGCTTTCACGTGGCTTACCCCAGCACTGGTAACTAAGAATAATTCACAAGTACGTTAATAGGTGTGTAATGCTCATAAGAGCCCTTGGCCCATAGGGAGCTTCTCTCCACATAGCTGGTGTTACTATTAAGTTGTAGATGTGAGGTCTGCGTGTCTCCCACAGACATGAAGAGATGTCTTCTGTGCCCTGAGGAGCAGTACTCAAGCCCCACCAGAGACCACTGCCTGCCTAGGATGGAGACCTTCTTGGCCTTTGACGAGCCCCTGGGACTCACCCTAGCCTCCATGGCACTCATACTGGCTGGCCTGGTGCTGCTGGTCTTTGGGGTGTTTCTGAAGCACCGGGACACACCTGTGGTCAGGGCCAACAACAGAGCTCTCAGCTACATCCTTCTTGCCTCACTGACCCTCTGTGCCCTTTGTCCTTTGCTCTTCCTTGGTCGTCCCACTGCTGCCACCTGCCTTCTCCGCCAAACTACCTTTGCTGTCATGTTCACTATGGCTATCTCCTCCATCCTGGCCAAGACCATCACTGTGGTCCTGGCCTTCAGGGTCACCAGGCCAGGAGACAGGGTCTGGGTGTGCCTGCGACCTGGTGCCTCCACCTTGGTGGTTCTTGTTGCCTCCTTCATACAGATTGTTCTCTGTGGGGTCTGGCTGGGCATCTCCCCCCCATTCCCAGACAGGGATATATCCTCCAAGCCCCACCACATTGTCATCTATTGCCAGGAAGGCTCTGGCGTTGCTTTCTACTGCATGCTGGGCTACCTGAGCATTCTGGCTGTGGGCACTTTCTCCGTGGCCTTCCTGGCCAGGGGTCTGCCTAATGCCTTCAATGAGACCAAGTTCATCACCTTCAGCATGCTGCTATTCTGCAGTGTCTGGACGGCCTTTCTGCCCCTGTACCACAGTGCACGGGGCAAGTCCACCGTGGCTGTAGAGATCTTCTCTATCTTGGCCTCCACTGCAGGGCTGCTGGGTGGCATCTTTGTCCCCAAGTGTTATATCATCCTGCTGAAGCCTGAGCAGAACACCCTGGTCAGGTTAAGGAGAGGACACCAGGCTCAGCTGGAAAGGCAGAGCAAGGAATATCCGAGAGGACGTCTCCCCAGACCTCAGCCACAAACGCTCATACTGGCTGGCCTGGTGCTGCTGGTCTTTGGGGTGTTTCTGAAGCACCGGGACACACCCGTGGTCAGGGCCAACAACAGAGCTCTCAGCTACATCCTTCTCACCTCATTGACCCTCTGTGCCCTTTGTCCTTTGCTCTTCCTCAGTCGTCCCACTGCTGCCACCTGCCTTCTCCGCCAAACTACCTTTGCTGTCGTGTTCACTGTGGCTATCTCCTCCATCCTGGCCAAGACCCTCACAGTCGTCCTGGCCTTCAGGGTCACCAGGCCAGGAGACAGGGTCCGGGTGTGCCTGCGACCTGGTGCCTCCACCTTGGTGGTTCTTGTTGCCTCCTTCATACAGATTGTTCTCTGTGGGGTCTGGCTGGGCATCTCCCCCCCATTCCCAGACAGGGACATGTCCTCCAAGTCCCACCACATTGTCATCTATTGCCAGGAAGGCTCTGGCATTGCCTTCTACTGCATGCTGGGCTACCTGAGCATTCTGGCTGTGGGCACTTTCTCCGTGGCCTTCCTGGCCAGGGGTCTGCCTGATGCCTTCAATGAGACCAAGTTCGTCACCTTCAGCATGCTGCTATTCTGCAGTGTCTGGACAGCCTTTCTGCCCCTGTACCACAGTGCACGGGGCAAGTCCACCGTGGCTGTAGAGATCTTCTCTATCTTGGCCTCCACTGCAGGGCTGCTGGGTGGCATCTTTGTCCCCAAGTGTTATATCATCCTGCTGAAGCCTGAGCAGAACACCCTGGTCAGGTTAAGGAGAGGACACCAGGCTCAGCTGGAAAGGCAGAGCAAGGAATGTCAGAGAGGACGTCTCCCCAGACCTCAGCCACAAGCCTCATGAACCAGGTCTTGCTGAAGACATCAGGGCCATATGATTTGGGTTCATTGTTTCTTTGAGGATTAAGAGAGAATTAAAAGACAGATAAAGAGATGGGAAAAGCACATAGAGCAAAATGCTAACGACTGTTGGTCAAGATGGTGGACATATGAATGGTCACTGACTACTTTCTTTGGATGTATAGCTGAAAATTTTCAGAATTAAAAAAGTTTAAAAAGGTTGATGAGGTGTTGGTGAGGATGTGGAAAAATCGGAGCTTTCATCCATTGCTGGAGGCAGTGGAAAAAGGAAAATAGTCTGGTGATGAACTTAGAGAAAATAATGTTAAGTGAAGTAAGCCAGGCACAGAAAGGGAAATACTGCATGTTATCGCTTATACGTGGGAGCTAATAAATAAATAAACAAACAAATAAATAGAAAAAGACACAACAATCACAATAATTCCTTGAACTTGTTAAAAGAACAGATATGACATTGATGGGTGGGAAAGGGGGAGGGGGTAAGGGAGGAATTGATAAAGGGCCATGAAAATCAACTACATCGTATAATGATAAATAAAACAAAAAATAAAGTTGAAAGGTTAACATATGCATCATGATATAAAGCAGTATTATTTTCACATGATTCTGCTTCAACCTTCCCAATAAAACAAAGGAACTGTGAAAAAAAAAATGACAGGAATCACCAAGAGAAAAATACAAAAATGTCTGAAAAGTTAACTAACAGAAAGGGGATCTAGAGTGGTCAAAGAACTCACGGAAACACATTCAACTTCTTAAGAAATGAAAGCCATGCTGATTAATGCCACAATGAGACTCATAATGATGGACAAAAAGCCCTTAAAAATATAAAAGCCATTAGAATGGCTTCAGTCATATATCCATCCCTCGTTGACTGTCAGTCGGTTACTCTTTTTGCTACCATTATCACTAATTATCATTACCATCACCATCACCATCATCATTATCATCACTACCATTATCATCCCTATTAACGTCATCATCACCACCATCATCACCATCATCACCACCATCATTAGTCACCAATATCATCGTCACTATCATCACCACTGTCACCACCGTTATTATCAAACTCACAGTTTCGTCATCACCACCATAATCATCACCACCACCATCAATACTATCACCACCATCCTTATGGTTACCATCATCGTTATCATCACCACAGTTATCATCACCA